GGATGAAAACTTAGACTCAACCTAAAAGGCAACACCTGGGCAAGAAGAAACATCTGTCAGTCACATGTTCCAATAGTTTTACTCACTTGAAAAATGGGTGGGTTCAAACAAAGGCTGGTATGTCCTGAGTTGTTAAACACATCTAGATGTGAATACCAGGAAATGAGAGCTGAAATTCTGAACTCTTGTCTCATACTCATCTTTTGATCTTAAACCCAAATGTCTTCAGTGAACAACAAAAACAAAGGAATTTGCCTTACTGTTCCAATACTTTTGGAGAGGACTGTAGGTGTTTGAGTTGCTAGTTGATGCTCTGAAGCTGTTTTAAACTCAGTGCTGATCTACTGTCTACTGGTGCAACATTATTTACTTTACTTTTCTCTGTCCTCGTCTCTACAGATCTCCCAATCACAATGTATCAGTAAGTACACTGTTGTGCTGTTTCTTTGTTTTATTTTATGTACTATATTCTGGTTAATTTGTCTCTATATAGTTAAAGAAATATAGGTTCTCCCACAATGCCGTATTTTGTGTTAAATATAGGCTTGTTAATTACATTGCTCCTGTCAGATCTGTAATATTATTACAAAATATTTTTTTTGCAAAAATATTTCCTTCTTTTTTTAACCTTTGTGCTTATTTCTTCTATTGGTCTTGTTTGTCTTCCTGTTCTTCTATCTTTTAGGTCAATGTGACAGCACTCAGACAGAAAACTTAACAACAACAACAACAAGTATAACTTATGGAAATGATCCAAACTGCAACTTATCCATTGGGAACAATATCTCTGGAAACGGTTCGATAACTGGTTTGATTCCTGGAATAGTCTATCAAATCTTCATTAATTGTTCCAACTGCTGCACAAATACCACAACAAGTAAGTCTGTTTCCTTTGTTGAATCACTTATATCCAAGACCTACAACAAATGACTTTATACAATATAGTACCTACAGCATTGCTGCATTGATTGTAGTTTGTATGAATACAAACAAAAGGGGTCAGTATAAATAAACCACATCTCAAATACAAAGATTATAATACTAATAATGAGTGGTTCGGAGAGGAAAATATTCAATTCTTATTAATTATCCAACTTCTCTGTCACTCATAGAGCCTGAAGTAGTCAGGAATCTCACTGTCACTGGTTTTACAACATCCTCTGTGTCTCTGAGCTGGACTAAACCAGAGGGAATAAGCTCTTTCTATAGAGTACAATGGCCTAATGGCAGTGTAACTGAGACAGTAAATGTGACTGGAACATCTACAACCATAACTAACCTGACTGCTGGCGTTCATTGTAACATAACTGTCACTGCAGTGGCAGGTGATGGCAGTACGTACGGACAGAGTACCACTGTGTCCCAGTACACAAGTAAGTAAAAGTTTAAATGGGGCTCATACTGTCAGCTAGTCTGCTGAGGACACCTGGTGGAGAAGACTCTCTGCCATGATTTCAACTTTTACATCAGAGCTGTACTGTATGTGCTGGACCTGGGTTGTAGCTCTTGACATTGTTGATGGCTCATCTGCTTAGTGTTGTACAGATTCCATTTTTAAAAAAAAACAATAACAAAATCCCGACATCACTAACTGCTGCTCCCCTAGCTTCTCTTACTCATTGCTGCTTTTCTTTGTTTTTTGTTTCTACAACTTAAAAACATAACAACATTTGTTCAGACTAGATAAGGTATTCCAAGATCAGCTTCAGGTTTCCCAGATATTCTACAAACATAAATAGAAGAAGAAAAACAATAAACACAGACGAGATGTATCAACATTTTCTGTTTTAGGTCTTAAAAGTATCAAAGAAAAGCCTCTGCTTACCTCCCCTTGTGTCCCACACCTATTACCCCTTGGTCGTAGAGAGAGAGAAAAAACCCTGCCAAGACAAGCCAAACTTAAATGTCTTTTGTTTAATAATGTACATGTATATCCAGTTTTACAATACATAGCAGTTGTCTAATGCTGCTGAATTTATAAGTCTAGGACAATAAATTAAATAGATTTATGGAATACAGGATTAATAACTCTTTAACATGTCATAGAGTATGTCAGCAACTTAAGCCACAAGTACTCCCACATTGTATACATGTAAGTACTTAGTGCACAAAGGATTTTGTTCTTGGTGTTAGGTAAAGTCTTTGAATCAATTTAGGGTTAGGTTAGTGCAGTAATTAATTATTATTAATGCAGGAAGCCAGGGCCACATGATTCCAAACTCTTTGCAATTTACACACAAATCGTAGTTTTTTAAATCCACATTACACACAGTAAAGGCACCTACAGACTCATTTAATTTGTCAAACCCACACTTTACTGTTGAACGAAAGTCCTTAAATTCAGTAGGGGATGAAGAGACAAGGGTTGATTAGAGGGGACACCTGCATTGTGGTACATGCTGACGCATTAAAAAAAGGCACTGCTAGGCAAATTGAATGTTATTTTTCACTGTATATTTTATAAGATATATAACCAGTCTAAAGCCACAGAAACAGTTCACGTGTTTGCAACGCAACCTGTGAGTTACATCGACATCAAGCCTTATAAACCTGTGCATACTCAATATACAATTTACATGTACTGCATGTATTTAGGAAATATTTTGAGCACTAATGAAATGGTATTCCTTCTCCTGTTCAGTTCCCAACCCTCCTGGTCCCATCATGGTGGCATCTCAGACTGTGGAGTCCATCAACTTTACCTGGCCCTTTCCAGAGGACATGGACTATAATCAGTACAACTTCACTGTGTCCAGCTTTATGGGCTTGTTTTCAACTAAAAACAACTGGTTCCTGCTGGCCAATCTTCAGTCTGGAAGCTACTACAACATATCTGTTGTTACAGTAGGCGTGTGGAACTAAGAGAGCACAGAAGTGATAGCAGAAAACTATACCAGTGAGTGTGATTAACATGATCATACCAGGGCTGTGGATGTGATGTTTGAGTATTCTTATTTGTTTACCGGTAGACTTAATTTTCTCTGGTATGGGTTATCATTGCATTATTACTATTTTTGCAATATACTGTGATAGTGATAGGTTACAGATATTTTGTATATGTTTGCAAGCAACAGTATCTGCAAAATAATTATAAGGCTTTGTAAAAAAAAATTTAAAAAAAGAAAGAAAACTGTTAAATATATAAAAATATATATTTAAATACAATTTTTCAATTAGATTCTGACAGATTCTGATGTTGATAGTGATATTATTTAGCTCCTTTATGAACCACGTTGGTGAGTTTTATCCTATCAAGGCCATTTAGAAGCACCATGTAACTATTTAACACAGCATATTGACTTCCAAATCTTTATATGTAAACCACAGACCCTATTTATACTATATGGCCCAAATCTGACAAAGAAAAACACATACCTGCTCCATCTGTCTCCCTTTCTCAGGACTGTATCCTGTAACCATGCTGACACAGGCAGGAATCACCACAAATGCAGTGACCTTGATGTGGGAGCAGCAGGAGAGCAAATCTTACTATTCATATGTGGTGCAGGTCTCCAACAGCTCCTTTAGCTCATCTAAAGCAGTCTTGAATACCTCAATCACGATCACTGGACTTCTCTCTGGTAGCAACTACAGCTTCACCGTCACAGCCCAGACAGCAGATGGCACTCAGGCAGCTCCTGTGTACTCCATATAGTACTAGCTGGTCCAAGGTGGAAACCCTAAACACAACTGCTATACATCTGGTTTGGATGAAACCGCTGGATTACAAGAATGGATACACATATAGGGTTACGACTACAGGCTGTGGCTCCAAAAACATAACCGTCGCAGGAGAAGACACACTGATCTCAGAGCTCACCCCTGGGACCAACTGCACCTTCTGTGTTTATGTCAGGGCAGTGGATGGCACCGAAGGGCAGGCAAACTGCACCTCTCAGTACACTCGTAAGACACTTACTGTCATTCCTGTTTATTTATTTCAAATTTTCAGAAGAAAGGAGATTTAAGTGACTTTGAACATGGCATGGTTGTTAGTTGTTAAATGCTGTGACCCAAATGGGAAGTTAAGCCGTCAGGGCTTTGTAACCATAGACTCAAGTTTGTAACACGTGGTTGACGTGAAGCGATTGCAGTTTACACAGTTGCATATTTTATTATTGGGTTAAAAAGTGTATAAGGCAGGCAGCCCACTACAGGCAGCTACTGTATATGGCTGCTGATAGATGTTGCATTGACAAATTGTGTTGTAGAAAATCAAAAGGATGAACAGGATAAAGTGACTGTATAATGTGACTGTGCGCAATGAAATGCTTACTGTGTACTGTTTACCTGTGTAAAGCAAAATTTAAATGTCTGCAGATTGATATTTAGCCTATAGTAAAGTGGAAGTGAGGACAACTAAAAAGTTGTGGTATGTTTTGCAAACTGGTTTGCAGTAGTGTAAAATTGTTATGTTTTATACATAATAGAAAACAGGCATATATCAGCACTATCAGTTTTAGAATGATGTCACTCTGCTTGTTGAAATTAAATTTCTGCCATTCCTCCCCTCTAAGTCCCTAACGCTCCTGGGCCAATTGAGATCCTGACGAAGACAACCAGCTCCATCACCATCAGGTGGAGGGACGCTCCTCTCATGACTGGTGCATCATTCTTCTACCAGCTGACTTACACAACCCAACGGGGAAGGGAAAACATCTCCTCCACCTCCACTTTAAATACAAGTTTCTAAAAGTGTTTGAGAAACATATAGCAAGGTGTTATATGCGGTTGCTAATGAGAACCTATCAATGCTCAAAGATGTTCGATCATTTCAGATGCTCATTCCATTTAATTCAAAAACGTATCTGTGGTCAGTTTCCTTGATTGATCTGTAGCTGACAGTATTTCTGGTTCAAGTACAACAGATTGCCTTGTGTTGTTTAGCATAGATAATGGTATTATTGGGGAAAAACATCAATATAGAAACGGATATATTTGCATCATTGCATTCTTTTTGCAGTATTTGAGGACAAAACTTCTCAATCAAATCTTTTCTCTTTCATATTTTTTCACAGTTCCACCCATTCCAGATAACTTTGAGTCATTGGTGAGAGTGAGTGAAAAGGTATACAACAAGTTCTCTCTTAAGATTGACTCCAGCCTGCTGAACAACACTAGTGGGCCAATCACACATGTTGGGGTGCTGATGACAAGTAATCTCTCTGGTGGGTTTCTTTTTCTCTTCTAAATGTCAGGGAGTGTTGTAACTGTGTCATGCTATCGTAATCTATTAGTGCTGAGGTGAATATTTATTGTCCATGACATCAATGTATGTATTTATAACTGTTTTTGTTTCACATGATAAAATAAATTAGACTCTTGACAAGAACTTTCTTGTCAAAAGCCATTTCCTGTTTTCATTCATTTCCTGTCCATCCAGATGACACTTCTGATTTTACAAAGTACTTGGGGAACACTTATAATGAGTGGAAGGCAGGGAGTACTCCAAGATACCTGGCAACAGTCAAAAAGACCATCCAAACACGCAGCGAAGAAAATCCTCTGAGCATACAAGTAGGAGATGGATCTCAGTGGGAGGGCTACATTAATGGTGCTCTGGATGCCAGTCGAAAATACCAGTAAGACCACTAACCATATTATATAGTGTATGAATAGGTGTGCAGCAGCATATAATAAACAGAAGTAACTTGTTGATGATACAATAACTTGTGAAAATGTATTAAGATTACCTTCTTTATTGATTATTGCTGTATTCTGTGAAAGCATTGGTACATGAACTGCTACTAGTACTTTTTATGTAGTCAAATAATGTGTTTTTTCAGCAGTCATTAAATTGACAAGTGTTTACTGTAAATATTGCTTTTACATTTTCAGTCACAGTGTGCAAAATCTGGTTACTTGTGTTTTACAAGCAGAAACATGGTGGTGTATTTAAACTTTGACAAATTAGTCAATTACATAATCCAGCAAATATTACAGCATCAGCTATTTCTAGATATGCAATGACAGAGATTAGGAGCAAATAAAAAAGTCACAGTGTAAAATGTATATAAACCACTAATTTGTTCAATCCTACAGATATGCTATTGTGTTGTTCACCAGTCTGTGCAAAACACGCTTGTGAATGGTTCATTGTCATTGGTCTCAGTAACAGACTTCTATCCTGTTATTGAACTCCCAATGAACCCAGGTACCACATTTAAAAACATTGGTTTTTTTTGCTATTATATGCAAATGATGTCTGTCTCTTTATTTTTAAACTTTTGTCAACATTTTAGCAATTGGCATTGCTATTGGAGCACTGGGATTTGTTTGCGTTCTCATCGTCCTGATCGGCTTCATTATCTATTGGAAATGGTTTGTCATTGTCAGTGGTGGAATGTAACTAAGTTCATTTACTCAATTACTGTACCTGAGTATTTACATTTTATGCAACTTTATACATCTACTCCCCTACATCTCAGATGAAACGTTGTACTTTTATGTTGTGGTGTGGACAGAGTGGACCCAAATGCAACGCTCAAGATTAACAGTTTTTATTAGGGGAAAGAAGGGGTTGAGGGACTGGAGTTGAGGGAGGGGTGGATGCCGGGGAAACGCAGGCACGGGGAACCGAGGAGACTGAGACCAGCGGGCCGAGGAAGAGAGGAGGCACGGGAGAACTGATCAGGGGGTTGGTGGAGGAGTGTGGTGGCAGGCTAACTGGGGAGGCATGAGGAAGAGCTGGGAGGATGCCGTGGGGGAAGTCTGAGGGGAGAGGGCAGGTGAGCAAGCCCAGCTGACTTGACAGAGGATGAGGGTGAGTGAACCTGGGGAGAGACAGACAGACAAACAAACAGGGTTAGTGACTCAGGGAAAACCAAGAACAGGGAAACAGATCATGCAGGTTATACGAGAGCTTGAGTGATCAAGTGGCACCGGGTTAGGAGCAACGACGATCAAGCAGGGGTTGACTGGAGTATGAAGTATTGTCAGAGATGAGGCTGATTGCTGGCAGGTGTGGCAGGCAGAGGAGGTGGCTGACGAGGTGCAGGTGCGGGTCGTTGGCTGGGCTCAGGAGCAGAGCACATGCAAGGGAGGAGACACAGGGAGGCAGACAGAGTACAGGGAAAAACAGAACACCAGGGGAAAGCTGAATCTCAAGCAAAAAAAGGATAAATAAACAGGACACTCACTGTCAGCTGGGCTGCCACCAGTGAAAACCACCATCTCCAAATTTTGTGAACTTCATTTTTTTCTGATTAACTGAAGGATAAAGTGTTCCTTATGGGTTGAGAATATTCTTCTCCTTCTTAAACTTTTTAATTTTAATATGTTAACTTTTTGCTGATAATGAACATAATAAAGTACATACTTTTACTTAAATAAGGTGTGTGAAGCAAGAATTTTACTTATTTTACGTATTTTCACAGTGTGGTATTAGTACTTTTACTTTAAGTAAAGACTTATACTTCTTCCACCACTGGTCATTGTCATAATTGATAAAAAATAGTATTAAGTCAGTGTATATAGTACAGAAGGCCCAAGCGGCCATCCATTCAAACATTTGTTTTATTCAGTTTATTACAACATTCTGTGACAACTGTATAATTATAGGCTATACTGATCTCAAGATAACAAAACAACAGTTTAATACAGGGGCTGGCAGGTGAATTTCTCAGGGAACCTGACAGTGTTACAGTTTAGCTTAGTTGGTAAAGTATAGGGCTCTTAGTTAAAGTTGTGTGTTCAATTCCTGTTTTGGATGATTTTTTAAAATTATCTTCTTTAACAAAGGTCTTATGAAGAGACCGTTACATAAGCTCAAAATAAAGCATATGCTGGAGTGTGTGTGTCCCGGCAATTATTCCACGTCCATCAACCTATGGATGCTTACTTCATTTCCCCAGAATCCTCAGGCTGTGGAAATTCCTGCACTTCTCATTCAGGGGAATCCAATGTCACATTTCCCGACGGCTATTACAGAGGTGTGTCAAGCAAGCCACAGACTATTTTGAATATCATAAGAACTTTTCAAAAAAAATGTTCCACAGTATAGGTCTAAACTTTAAACTCACAATTATGCACCATGTAGGTTTTCCACAAAAGAAACATCAGACATGAAGAGTCTGTCCATGAGGTAAGGTTTTCATTTTTGCCACGTTACTATTATACGGAAAGGAAATGTTTGTTTGCACTGTTTACTTCCACTCGCACTCCATTCGCACTGTTTAGTGTTTACTGTTTTTGCACTTTAATTTGATTTTAATATAGGTTAAATTTATGTTTAATGTATGTATGTTTTGTATGCTACTGGATACTTGAATTTCCCTCGGGGATAAATAAAGTATTTATCTATCTATCTTGGACAACAACTGTTTCTCTAACTGTGTGTCAACATTGCTCTTTCCTCTTTCCTTTTCCAGAGCCAGAGTGTAATTATCCTTTAAGTCATAAATTATAATCAAATCTATCAAATGTTTTACATTATGGTGGGAACAGATTGAAATGTACAGAAATCCAGCAACAGTGGTTATCTAAATAAACCACATTACTCTTGTCTGACCTCTGGTGTCCATTTGAGCAGAAGTGTGGCTGTGAGGGGGGAGGACTACGAGGCGTACAACAAGAAACAGAAAACTGACTCCAACTGAGGCTTTGCTGAAGAGTTTGAGGTGAAACACACAGTGGCGTCTCCTGCTAAATCTCTCAGGGGGGGCAATTGCTGCGATGATGGCTAAGGTTACCAGTTCAATGGTCTACGTCAGCTATAAGACAAGGATTGTTCCTTAGGCTATCTACAATGAATGAATGGTCCACAGTGATCAACTACAGATGGGATGCCATCTATCAGTTCACCCTCAAAGACCTTTGGATGTAAAGGCAACTACTTTAGCATTAGTGTAAAAAATCTTTAACTCTCACAATCATCTGATTTAGCTGTTAGGCACAACAAATCCAGAATAAAGCGCAGTGGCACTGGGGCTGATAATGTGCAATTAATAAAACTATTTACAGTTCATCCTGCACTGCAACTAAGGGACAGGCTGGAGTAGAAAACAAGCTTACCTGTCTCAAGTAATACAGTAATATAATAATGTCACATATACACTGTGTCACCGTACCTATATGAAGGTGGATCAAATATAGCCAATCTTAAATGTTCAATGGGGTACAGTTGAACCTAGTATTAATTTTTATTATTTACACACATTACACAAGACTAATAAGGTAAGCAGAGGTAAAAGAGTTGTAAATGGATCTTGAATGTTCTCCACTTGTTATCCTGTAGTTACACAGTATTATTAGGGGTGTGGGCTGTATTAAAAACTGTATCTACTGTTCTCCCATGATCTATAATAACACAGTAACAGTGAGCTATGTGCTGTTCTTCCATTCTCACTTTGTATTTACACATAAACAAGAAGGCATGTAAGGGGAAATATAAAAAGGTATTTATATTGTTTTGGGTTATTTTCTGTGTTGCTCTCCTTCGTCTCCTTCTTCTTTTTATCCTCCTCTGACAAAGATGCAAGTGATGGCCACTTCATGCTAACTCCTCTTTCTTCTGTGATTTTTTTATATAAATATTTGTTACTGGTTAAGTGCAGCAAAGTTAACTTTAAATTGACTCCAACACCACACATAAAACACTGTGGTAACGTGAGCCGCCGATTGCGAAACCGTGGTCAAGCCAGTCGTCTGATTTCTGTTGCGCCTAAAGCAGTGTTATGATGGTAAGGACAGGGTGCAAGTGAGCCAAAGGTCCTGAAAGATACATGAGTGTTGGTGGTGCTCTTAATGATTATATGAACACAAACACATACCACGATAATATAACAATATTAATAATGATAACAATAGTGATAATAATAGTAATAATAATAATAACATTTATTATTACTTGTTATTAATACAAAATGTAACTTTTCATTGTTATTTTGTGAACATAATTTATGTAAAATTTGACATTTCACCAACGTAATTCCTCAGCAGTTAGCACCATCATGGCATCGACTTCCTAATGAGTTCCTCTATCACTGGCACAAACACTCTCAAAAATCCGCGAAACAGTGAAAATTAAACGGACAGTTAAAATTTCTCTGAACTTTGACTTTTGACTAAAAGAATTCCTTAATAGGTGACATCACAATTGTCATATCATAGTGTCTTCTAGTGTCACTGGTACAAATATTATAAGGTTATACTGTACCAACTATGAGATATTGCCCTCTAAAAATCCCTCAAACAGCAAAAATGAAACAGACAGATGACAGATAAATCGCTCTGCTGCTGAGCACATGACGTAAGTGCAAGCCCTCCCGGAACCCATAGAGATTGCATTGCAGCGCCCACAGCTCAAAAAAAATTGCTTTTACATGAAAGTCTATGAGAGCAATCTGGGCGATTTTCAATCATTCTGAAATCGCTCCAAAAGGGGAGGGACTCCGCGGAACACGACTTGACACTGATTGGATAACGATATTCAGAGGCAACTTTCAGTCCAAGCTTACTAACCGTGTTGTAGAAAATGTGAGAAAAATCCCCTGCTTGGTGGGGCGATCGCCCCAATCAACAAACCGCCCCTGGAAACACAAGTGTAATATTCAATGACTCTGATATTTAAATTAGCATATTCATAGGAAGCAATTATTGCCAGAAAATTGCCATTATATTTTATGTAATTTAGTCTACATAGATTGAATCATTTACTTTAATAACTTTGACAATGTAAATGTTACAATTGCTCATCATTTCTTAAAATGAAATGTCAATATCTAACTATCTGTGCATTTCTAATATTTTTTGTGATCATTGACTGGATTTTCATGGAATGAGTTTTATAAATAGGGATTTGATTTGACAGTGTAGGAGTCAGCATTTGATTCTGCATGCCATGCAGCGGTGCATTTTATTACAAATGTAAGATCGCTCACACAGACACATCCCTGCAGATTATATGAAATTGTGGACTGGCCATCATTAGCTATGCAGAGACAGCTACAATGGGTCTTCTCCCCTGGTTAAATAATAATAATTAAAAAATAATAGGGATGCTCGCAAGGCTTCATTTGTAGTCTAAGTAATTTGTTCTCATCTCCTTCAGACATGTCAGATACTAGAATGGTGTAATGTTTAGAAATAAACTTTCACTGGTACAAAGGTATTGGGATCTTTTTGGTACTGCACATGCACCAGATTTTTACCATAAAGCGAGCCGTACAATCACCAATCTTTCTTTTAAAGGACCTGAAGCTTGTTGGTACAGCTCAGTCAAAAGCAAGTGCTCAGACTGTGGAGAACACGCTCAAGAACCGTTGCAACAACGTGCTTCCCTGTGAGTCACCTTCGCCTCTCATAATGTATCTGCTATTATCCCATTTTAATTGGACATTAAATCAAAATGATCTGACATCTTTCAAGGTAGTTTTCATATTATAGAAAAGTGATCGTCAGTGCAGCCACACCATTTTTCACATGGCAGTTTGTTTGTTTCATTTACCCTCTTTTCTCGCCTCTTAGATGACTCTTCCAGGGTGAAACTCTCTATTATCCATGGGAGTCCATATGATGACTACTTAATGCCATCATGCTACAGTGGGGGAAATAAGTATTTGACCCCTTGCTGATTTTGCAGGTTTGCCCACTTACAAAGAATGCAACGATCTATAATTTTAATCATATGTACATTCTAACAGTGAAAGAAAGAATCCCAAAGAAAATTCCAGAAAATCACATCATATGAATTTATTAAAATTGATAACCATCTGATGAGGAAAAACAAGTATTTGACCCCCTGGACAAACAGCATGTTAATATTTTGTAGAAAAGCCATTATTGGCCAGCACAGATGTCAAACAGTTTTTATAGTTGGTGACAAGGTTTGTGCACATTTCGGCAGGGATGTTGGCCCACTCCTCCCTGCAGACAGCCTCCAAATCATTCAGGTTCCGAGGTTGTCGCCTGGCAACTCGAATTTTAAGCTCCCTCCAAAGATTTTCAATTGGATTCAGGTCTGGAGACTGGCTAGGCCACTCCAGAACCTTGATGTGCTTCTTCTTCAGCCACTCTTGTTGCTTTGGCGGTGTGCTTAGGGTCGTTGTCGTGCTGAAACACCCATCCTCGACCCATCTTCAGCTCTCTCACTGAGGGAAGGAGATGTTGGTCCAGAATTCCACGATACATGGCCCCGTCCATCCTCCCCTCAATACGATGGAGTTGTCCCGTCCCCTTGGCTGAAAAGCACCCCCAAAGCATGATGTTGCCACCACCATGCTTGACGGTGGGGATGGTGTTCTTTGGGTTGTACTCGGTATTCTTTGCCCTCCAAACACGACGAGTTGAGGCCAAAAAGTTCTATTTTGGTCTCATCTGACCACATCACCTTCTTCCAGGCCTCTTCTGAGTCGTCCAGGTGGTGAATGGCGAACTTCATGCGGGCCTGTACATGTTTCTTCTTGAGCAGGGGGACCTTGCGTGCGCTGCAGGATTTCAATCCATGACGGCGTAGTGTGTTACCAACCGTTTCTTTTGTAACTGTGGTCCCAGCTGCCTTCAGTTGATTCATCAGTTCCCCCCTTGTGGTTTTGGGATGATTCCTCACCGTTCGCATGATCAGGGACACCCCACGAGGCGAGATCTTGTGTGGAGGCCCAGACCGAGGGAGGTTGGCGGTGGTGTGGTGCTTCTTCCATTTCCTGATAACTGCACCGACAGTTGATCTTTTCTCTCCAAGTTGCTTTCCGATTCTCTTGTAGCCCATCCCAGCCTTGTGCAGATCAACAATCTTGTCCCTGATGTCCGTAGAAAGCTCTTTGGTCTTGCCCATGGTGGGGATGTTGGATGCTGGTTGTTTGGGTGTTGACAGGTGTCTTTTATACAGGTAACGAGGTGAGGCAGGTGTATTTGATGTAGATAATTGGTTGGGATTGGGGCTGTGTCTTAAAGAAAGACTAACTGGCTTGTAGGAGCCAGAATACTTGCTGTTTGGTAGGGGGTCATATACTTGTTTTTCCTCATCAGATGGTTATCAATTTTTATAAATTCATATGATGTGATTTTCTGGAATTTTCTTTGGGATTCTGTCTTTCACTGTTAGAATGTACATATGATTAAAATTGTAGATTGTTGCATTCTTTGTAAGTGGGCAAACCTGCAAAATCAGCAAGGGGTCAAATACTTTTTTCCCCCACTGTATTTAAATTATTCTACCTTCATTCACATTGATGTTTGAAACACTCAAGAAACTCCAAGAAAATCTGAACAGGATGGATGTTTGTGTTGTGTGGCTGGGTTGATGTTTTGTTTGGCAGGGTTACAACTCCAGGAAGGAGTTTATTGCAGCTCAGGGTCCATTGCCCACCACAGTCAACGAGTTCTGGAGGATGATCTGGGAGAAGAATGTACACACCCTGGTCATGCTGACACGCTGCAATGAACAGGGACGAGTGAGTACAAACACAAACAAACACAACGTCTGGCAGCAACATGCCATGTTTACATACATGGTAACACGGGGTACATCCCAAGCCTCTTATTTGATATGTCCTCGTTAAACCGTAAGTCATTCTGCTCCGCCCTTACCTGAAGCTTTTATTTGTGCTCTGAGGATCGAGGTGCGAAATGGGATCTCTGAGGATCCATCAGCAAGGATACATGAAAGCAGCCTTCACAGAAGTCTTTCACTGGCCGACAGATCCCCTTTTTGAAAATCAGTTATTGAATGGACGCTGCAGCTGATTGGACTGACCTGAAGTATCTGTCATTTCCCACATTAATGTTAATTTTGGATACAATTAAAGTGAGAGAGAGAAGAAGAGTATGTAAGTCTGCAAAACAGACTTTAGATTACATGGAATATCTGCTTGACACAAGCTGCTTTATGTTACATAAAACCACTGTTAAACTCTTACCATCACATTTAAAATATCTATATCTACACAGTCTGAAGGCACCAAACTCTGATGTGATCTCAGTGTGTGGTCCATCCTTATGTAGTGCAGTGTATTAATCAGCCTCTTGCTGCACTCTACAGACGATGTGACGACCACCTTTGTGGCCTTGCTTGTTTGAAAATTTTAATTTAAATCTCTCATTAAAATGTATTAAACTACATTTACTAAATACTGGAGTTTCTAAATATGTTGCTTGAATACAAAACATTTCTATATTCTGAGTAACTAAAAAAAACTGAATGATTATCCTGTTTTTTAGGTAAAATGTGATCAGTACTGGGCATCTGGGACCAAGCACTTTGACAACATCAGTGAGATAACAACTTCTGAAAAAACATTTGAATACTGGACCATCAGGGACTTTAATGTTAAAAATGTAAGTGCAAGATGTTACATTATGCAAAATGGTAAAAATCAACACTGTAAGTAAAAGTCATAACCCATCAGTGCTTATTTACACCTTTAGTTTGGAGTACTACATATCAACACTTTTAAATAATCTGATGAATGTGCAGGAATCATACAACACTGTCACTGCTTGTGCAAGCAGGGTAACAGGAATACAGGGTAAGGACCCTAAAGTAGACAACTGAGACAGAGGTAGTACAGTTCAGTGATTTTTATATACAAATAGAAGGTACAAAGGCTTTTGGGAAGGTGATGCAGGCAATGTTCAAAACCAGAGAGAAGTCTAACACAAGCAAACAAATCCAGTAAGGAGCAGGCAAAAATGCAAAGTCCAATAAAACAGGCAAAAAAGTCAAAACACAAGGTAATGCAGGAAACCAAGATATGAGCACATTGCAACATAACATAACCAACATTCTGGGAAGTGGTCTAGAACTGAAGAACGGGTGGTGTAGAAGACCTCAGGTGGACAGCCTGAAGTCTTCTACACCAAGGACCGTCACCAGGAAGAACAGCATCAGGAACAGCGGCAGCTCGGCAGGAACATGTTTTCGTTCGTGCAGCCGACTGGGAACCAGACAGGAATGGTTGAAGTTCTGTGGTACTGCGCAGCTAAGACAATGTGGCGCAGAACCGCTGAGAGTGCAATCAGTGTTGGGAGCCATGGGGAACACTTTACACATTCACATTAAAACATGAATCCTTGCAACCAGTAACTGATAAAAAAAAAAAAGTTGTGTGCTCCAGTTACCTTCTGAGCCAAAGACCTGTGATCTAACTTGTCAATAACTGAAACATTTCTGGGCATGTGTATGTGATTTTAATAAATCACACAAAATACATTTTTGTGTGTTTGTACATGCTGATTTCTCAATCACAGTTTGAGTGCATGTTTCTCCTCCAGGTGAAAACAGCAGAGACCTGTTCTGTGCGTCACTTCTACTTCACAGCCTGGCCAGATCACGAGGATCACAGGGTCCCAGAAACCACGGAGCCCCTCATCAACTTAAGACATTTGGTCAGAGAGCACATGGACCAATACTCCAGACACTCTCCCACTGTGGTCCACTGCTGGTCTGACAGAACACACGTACACACATTTTGCCTTCAATTGTATATAACAATTGTATAACTAAACTAAAATCATCTGGTATTCTGTTTTTCTCTCTCCTCGCCCTTGTCTGTGTGTCTACATCGTTTGCCCTCAGTGCTGGAGTTGGACGAACAGGTATCTTCATAGCCATTGACTGTTTGATTTTCCAGATTGAAGGAAAAATATTGTGGACGTGTATGGCATTGTCCATTGGCCCCTTATGGTGCCGATAGAGGTAGGACACGGTCACGTACACTGTGTTTTTACTGTAGATGTTTGAAATGATGAGTACGCTGCAGCTCAGTGAATGTTTGTATTTGATGTCACTGCAGGACCAGTATGTGTTCTTAAACCAGTGTTCCATGGACATCATCAGATCAAGAACTGGAACCAATGAGGATCTAATAGACCGAAACAAGGCTGCACTATCTGTATAGGTCTTCTATTTCTCTCTTTATTTATATTTATATTTTGGGATATAATTATTTGTTAAATGTTAAATATTTGATAATGGAGGTTACAGTGGACATAATCACTGACCAAAAATATTTGGATTATATGTAACCTTTGGTCAAATCTAAAATTGGATTCTCTCTTATTATTGCAGTTTTGATTTTCTGCTTTTTTTGTTGCGGTGACAGCCCGGCTGTTGGTGAGTATCCTGTTTCTCCTTTCCCTCGCATTCTGTTTTTTTCCTGTGCCTTCTCTTTCTCTCTGTGTGTGTGCTCTCTCCCTCTCTGCTCCGGAGCCCGGCTGGCTACCCACACCTGCACCTCGTTAACCTCCATCCCCGGCCGCCGCACCTGCCAGCCATCAGCCTCATCATGACCAGTATTTCTACCCCGGCTTTCCACTCCATCCTCACTTGATGGTCGCAGCTCCTGACTTGGTGTTACTGCTTTGTTCTGGCTCTTTTGAAATTTTCCTTTGTTTCACCTGCTAACCCTGTCTGTTTCCTCCTGCCAGGTTCACTCACATCTGCCTCCCAGCCTCCTCCTCTCCACGACGCCCTCCGGCTTACCCCCCTTGCACTTCCAACTTTTGGAATTGCCTTGTAGAACAGAAAATGCTGGTATGAATGCTGTGCCTTGTTAAAAAACTTTTATGCTTTATCACCAATAGGTGGCATTCCTTCATTTTCGTTTTAAACTGAAAGGACAAACAGGAAAATGTTTTACCTTATATTAGGACCCTATTGGGAAGATTACGTTTCTGAATATATCATATTTTATTGAAGCTTGTCATATTGTCTAGACAATTCTATTTGTAGCTCTTTAGCCAGTTTGAACTGTGTATTCCCTTTTAATGAAGGTGTCCTGTTGTTTTTGATAGAGATTAATTTTATCATTATGGTGATTACACTTTGGCCAGTGCTTTGTGAAACATTTAGCTATTCAGCCCACATTTGATTCATACAGTTTTACTTTGATTGATTAAGAGATGAGAAGGATCACATTAAACAAAAGCCCTGGACCTCAAACAATGAAAACTGAACATTTTAAAGTGAGGTATGATCCATACTACAACAGTGTGTACTTTGAAAATCTTAGCGGTCATATCCATTGTCTTTGTTTTATTAATGTCCTTCATCTCTACATTGTATATTCCTCAAAGAAACAACATTATGTCACTTCCTGCTGTGTATGTGGTGTGTCTATGGACATTTCCTGCCATGTTAAAATTACCAGAGGAGCACCAAGCTTTATTTTCAGCTTCTAAAACACAGAATTTTCCATGAGGCAGGGTCATGTTTTGTTGATAATTGATGTGTGTGGTTAGCCTGTAGATATATATTTTAGTTGTATCATGAAATACCTAATCATTTAAGGTACTTGTATTTTTAATGAAAACAACAATAGCAAATATTCACAATGTTTTTGAAATGCTTTATGCAGTGCTTGCATGTACAATGTAAAAAGAGCAAATTAATTTTTGCATACCCTTCAATCTGTAAAACAAAGGTGATTAATGATAAACCCAATGTTATCTGTTAGAATCATGACATTTGATAGTGTTACATATCTCTAAGCTGGTGTCACTCAGAAAATGCTAGTCTTTTTTGTTTTGTAACATTTCACAAGCTGATATTAACAACATGCCATGCTTGAGTTGTGTGACAGCTACACTAAACACTGCACTGCTGATGCACATTCCAATGCAAATAGTTTCTGAGTTGTTACTGTCAAAAGAAGAAACAAACAGCATAATATGCTGCATGCTGCAGAGGAGGACTGAGCTGGAACACCTTTGCATTATTCAGAGCAACTTTGAGGTTGCAGGTAGCTAAGTGCACCCTCAGAGGATGAATAAATAATGCCATTTCTTTTTCTTACTTGACGAGGAAAAAGCTTTTTACAGAGACATCTAAAAGTTCTAATTTTACAGCTAACATCAGGCTTACACTCGGGGGATTTTGTACAGTTTGGAGGTGTTTTTAAGGGCAATCATTTCCACACAGTACTGGGCACTCCTGGCATGGTGGTAATAAAAGATTTAGTCAGCAAGTAGGCCTCAAGAAGCCTTGATATTGCTCACGTCCTATAAAGTATACCCTCCCCCTTTCCCCTTTTCTCCATCTCTCCCCTCCACTCCTCCTTATCGTCCTTGTTTCATGTCTCTCATATACAAAAGTTGGATCTAAAAATGGAATTGGTATTTGAATGCCTCTTTGTAGTTTCCTATGAGTTGCAATAAAAAGTATACAGAAAGCTGGTGCCGTTTTCACAGAAATCTAACCTGCAAACACAAAATTAAAATAGGACAAAAGATAACTGGGTGATCCAAAATTAATGATGAGCTCAAATGCTTATGTGCCAGTAAATCCACTATAATGGATTACACCGGGTTAAATCAGCTTCTGACTGCAGACGTAAAAGCTTGTTTTTTTTATGTAGCACACAACATCACAAATGACCATTTAAGTCTTATTAATCAGAGGAACTCACATCTATGTAGTGGTGTGGTTTACACTATAAGGACTCTACATGTAGCTGTTGATGTCTGGCCTGCGGTGCAAAATTAGCATGCATTTGGCTCACTTGGCTGAACATCATTTTAAAATTATGTTTAGGTCAATAAAGCTATGATGGACATTCAGTTTGTAGCAGAATGTAACACAAATGACATAATGGTCAAATTAAAGCAAAAAGACAAGGGCAAAATACTCATCATCAAATTGCTAACAACAGAAGTAGAGCCAACACACTTTTTAACCTCTGAAATACCAGAGTACTGTTCTTAAGTTGAGTTTGGAGGTTCTTGTACTTAACCAAGTACAATTCCTTTTGAGGAACACTTCAGATAAGCAGCTTGAAGTTTTCTTTAGGTCTTAAATATTTATTGTGACAATGAAAAATGTATGATAATGTTTGCACTTGTATACAGTGATGGGAAGTAACTAAGTACAATTACTCAAGTACTGTCCTTATAGGTTTGATGCACTTACTCAAGTATATCCATTTTCTTTCACTATTTTTCAGATAAAAAAATTCCTCTTAATCTACTGTACTGTATCTGACAGGTAACTAATTACTTTATGCCTTATGATTAAGAAGCATTTTTTGCCTTTGTCTTACCCACCTCTTACCTTACCCCTAAATTTGACCTCTTAGCTTTTTGCGAGGGTAAACAAAGCTTACAAAATATAATGCATTATTATAAATTAAACTAATCATCAGCATATAAACCAGAATGTCTTACTTACATGTTATTGCGTCAGTAATGATAATCCAGTAAAGTGATTCATAACACTGAAAGGGACCATTGTGCTGACTAATGCTTTTGAAACTTTACATGCACTTTGCCGATAATGCTCCACAAAAAACTCCACTGCAACACAGTACAACGCATCAGGTGCTGTACGCTGCTGCGGCCACAGGTGTCGCCAGGGCTCTCTGAGTAGCAGCAGCAGCCAGATGAACCGCAGCAGGAGGATGCAGTCCACTCCACACTCTCCATGTTGAAACAGAGCAACTTCGCCTCCAGCCGACTCCAACCGTCCGCCACAGCCCGCCTGCTGTTCCCCACGACCCAGGCAGCTGTCTGAAAGCCCCGTGCTATGACGCTGGACTGGGAAGAAAGCTCGGGAACAACTGTATGAGCGCCACGCTGGTCGACACAGAGTAAGTTTACATTGAACCGCTGCTCCAACACGGCGAGAAAGATAACTTGCTATTTTTAGCAAACGTCCTCTGTATTTCTGCAACTGGTCATATGTTTTATCTGCTAACTTACGCTAGCTAGCGGAGCTCCGGTACCGTTAGCATTAACTGGTACAATGAGGAGGATTTGCATGTTCCCAGGATCCAGACGATAGTTTTGAGCATCATAACCGTCGCAGTGTTTGGAGAAATTTGGGCTCATTGGTGGGAGTAACGTTATCTGTGTGTGTTTAGTGTGTCGTCTGGCTGGGTGGTGGCTACAGTCACAAGCTAGCTTCGTGTAGTAGACCTTCACCACCACGTTAGCAGACCGTGCGGCAGCGGCTTGGCTGTCACTTGTTTGCATGGCAACCATGAACCGAGCCGCTGTGTACGGTGACCAGCAAGGGCAAGTAACATTATTGTGATTTCTTCATATTTAGCCGTGTTACCTTCCTGCTATCGCCTGCGTAATGGATTGGTAAATTGGAGCGGTCAAAAGTGGATAACGTTATTTTTATATGTTTAACAGCGAAGGCGTCAGAGCAGTCACCGGAGGAATAACCAAAGCGATTACTGGTTACTTCAAAACAACCTCCATTACTCAAAGGAATCGCAATACTCAGTACATCGTCGGAATGATGTAACGTTAAGACTTAAAGTTAATGCAATGTGGCATTGTAGATGATTCAAAGGAGAGCTGTGAGGCTGGTGGACATTTAAATGTCAAGTATACATATATGCAGTGCAGGCCAAGGCATCTCCAGCATGGTTTCAGTCCAGTGTTGCTGGTGTAACGTGTGCACTACCAGCACATTATGACTGTCAACAGCCTTTTCTCAAGAGGCCTTTCTCAATTAATATTTAGAGCACTAATAATGTTGCGTTTTTGTGATAGATTGTACAAAATGGAAGCAACGAATTTTTTTTTTTCATGTTGCAGCCTTTATAATATGAATTTAACTTTCAGGATTAGGAATGACATGCTCTTCTTGTAATGTGAGCTAGACCGATAAATCTGCTAATATTGGCTTAATGCAGACATATTTGTACCAGATTAATAGTGCTGGGCGATATGGCCAAAATGTTATCACAATAAAAAATGTAATGTCCTTTGATATCGATAATTATCACGATAAATGTCAAATCATTATTTCTTCTTCTCCAGTTTAAAGGCTGTTTTTTGCTCCTGAGTAAAGTTGAAGAAACCAGATGGTTTTTAACTATTCTTTATGAACATGACAAACACTTGTGGATCATTTAACATTTCTGAGGTAGAACATTCAAAACAATTATGATAAAATCTTTTTTCAACAAAAATGCATGAGTAAAATGAAGTAAAATCTTTTTTTCAGTCTCTGAAATATCTCATTAAGAAAAATTTTAATTGCAAAGATGCTAATGTGTTTTTGTGATTCAAATGAATTAAATCAAACATTTATTAAACATTTATTGTTATATTGTTATTGAGGAAAATATCGTGATAATTCTCATTATTGTTTTTTTTGCCCAGCCTTACCAGAATATATCTGCTGATAAAGTAACTGGAAATTGCAGTACATAAATGCCGAAATATGTTTGACTCAGTACACACACACACACACACACATATACATAAATAAATAAACATATATGTTTATTTTATATTTATGGGGAAAAGAAAGACTCGATCAATATATAATTTTTCCATTTTCTTTAAAACTCTCAGCCTATTGTCAGCCTCAAAAAGCCAATACGGCTCGGGATATATTTGGAATATTTTATGTATAATATTTTATTTTATGTAGATGAGATATTGCCTAAATGTGGAGATTTTACAGTGCCACTTAGCCTCATCCATCTCCGTCTATTCCAGTGCAGACAAAGATAGAAGAGCTCATCATCTTTAATCGTGTGGTATTATGTGGAGTTAGGCTTTGCTAGAGATGAGAATAATACAGAAGTGCACTTTAGTTAATAGTTAAAAGGGGTTACTAGAATGTGTTGCTCCAAATGCTGGAAAAAAAATAATCTCAAGTGAAGGCAATCCAAGCACAAGAGGAAATGATTACCAGAGTGCTGGAAGTGAAATGTCAGGTGATATTTGGGAAATTGCAGCTGCGTGGGAAAAGACAGTTTAACAGTCTGTCTCTTGTTCCCCACTTTCTCTTTTTGTCAAAGCTCTGCTAAGTCCTTATTTGCTCTGTTGTCTGAGTCTTTCTGTAATCTGTCTGCACTTTCAGTTGACTCCATCTTTTAGACTGGGTTATACAGAATAATAAAGGCCTGATACCCAGTATTAGGATTCTGTCAGACTGGCACTGGACAAAAATTGATCTCGTATTGAATGAC